ATCATTGGAGTTATGGTCACCTAAAAATGGTAAAAATCTATTTATGTGGGGCAATTTAAAATCTATTCCATTTTTAAAAATGGAAGAGATCCTTAAATCCTGGATCCGCCCCTGAATGTTATTCAGCCAACAGAGAAAAAATAAATTAAATACTGTAGACTGCTAAATGAACAATGAAGTTCTTAATACTGTATATTGCCAGGTAAAGAGAGGGAAGGTGACTGGGGGAGGGGTGGATAGTCTTTGAGCAAGACTATGAAGTTCTTTAGTCATGTAGTAATTGACTGCTCTTAATCATGAATAAATAGATGTTATTGCAAAGGAAGCAAAGAAATGTAATCGATCAACTTCAAGCACAATGGACTTCATACTAGTTTATCATTACTCTTTGCAATCACTGTATTAAGTGGAGAAAATGCAGAATACGGTATTCGAAAACAGAATAATGTCAAACATTTCATATGTCATATTATTATGATGAAAAATATTATCATGAGAAATTTATGTCAAAGGTTGCCCTTGAATCAACGATAATCATCTGAAAATCTCAGCGATAACCAATCAAAAGATCGGTTATAATATCATACAAAGGTTGTATTCAACCAATCAGTTACATGGTACTGTCTTGAAAATAGATACAGACACATGACTAAACTTTAGACCTTAATTAAACTTTGGAGTTTTATCCTCCTGTTGTGCTAGATTGTAAAAACATCAATTTAATGAATGTATGCATACATGTATGTTTAATTTTACCTATCATTGGTTCTTTTGATATGAACTTACTTTAATACAACTAGAAATGTGTTGATCTCTGTGGACATCTTCATGATAAAAGGCCTGTCAATCTGGGATCACCTAAAATTAGTGACTTACAAATGTTGAACACCTTCCTTCAAATTGTGAACACCTTGGTTCAAATTTTATTGCATACATGTATATCCAAATTTTGGACACTTCCAATATTTCGAGCTCACTTTGCTCGTGTTCAACAAGTCAGTCAATGGGAGGAAAGTAAATTCAAAGCAAGTGCGTCCATCATATACATAATTCGCTTGGAAATTCTGAATGAACTTAGTTCATTGCAATTGGTGTAAAAATTCAGAACGAACTGTGTTCATTTTTTACCGCGTCCGTTTTTGATGTTCTTTTCCTGAAATATGTTTGCTTGACAATAATCAGAAAAATGTGTATTTGCGTGACATATTCTGTCACACAAAAAGATGGGCGTGACCAGTGTTTTTCCTAAGCGTTGGACCATCGGACAAATCCAGCAATGTTGACCCGGGACTGATAAGTTATTTTAACCAGCCAGTTCACAAGACCGTCCATGTCAGATGGCTTAGATATGCACCAAATTCTTACCTTAAACATCGGTCTGATCTATGTATTTCATTTATTCAACAGTGTACTCATCATCCCATTGAAACTTGAAAACCGACAAAATATTACAAAAGTTTTAGATCTGCAAACGAGGATAAATGTTGTAGCATTATTTTTAAAAAATCTTCTCTGTAAAGTCTTTTCTACATGTTTTCTGACAAAGCAGTTGACAGATAGATTTCAAATTTTCAAACTACTTACCCTACTATCACACCAAACTAGTTCTCGCTACGTTCTCGAAAACGGGCTTAAACTGTGCACGAACGGATTTGACGTACTAACAACCAATAAGAACCGTTTGGGATCTGTTTACAAACTTCATGAAACTACTAGAATGAGTAGGTCCTCCAGCACTTGGAGCATGCTCAAAATTTTCTGGTGATCGTCAAAAGGTTGCCTAATCAGTTTTAAACTGTGTGCGAACTGAATGAACGTAGGTACATCCTTCTACCGTCTGTTTACGAACTTCATGGACTTTCCCGGACGGGGTATGTGATTTAGAATTTTGAATTGATTCAAAACTCAATGGCGACCATACCGTTCTGTAATCAGGTCATGATGACCTTCTAGACTAAGGGACGGTTTATACTACGTTGCACACCGACGTGGTGCGACCTGAACGAACTGCGAATGAGATGGACGTATTGAAGACTGTTTATGAACGAAGTAGCTAATTATTTTAGACATATATCCCGACCGCAGCCAGATTGAGCCCGTTTTACGACATTTTCGTAGGACTGGCAAGAACGGGTAAGAACTAGTTTGGTGTGATAGGGGGGTTAGTTTTTTGGCAGTCTGGGTAAATTTTAAGACGGCCACATTGGATGTTTGTCTTAAATCTTTGTCTTTTCAAATGATACATGTACATGTAGTGTGTGGCATTCAGCATGAAAAATTTGCAGTTTATAGGAGGATCACCCAATGGTGGGGACATGTTGTTTACGTTTGTGTTCTTGCATGTATTTTTTCAAGAGTTTTACCACAAAATTATTATGAAAATTCAAAATCCAAGCAGATGTAGCTAGCTGCTAAACCCAATTGATGGGACAATGGAAGGGTTCCTAGGGACAGGGAGAAGGGACCAAGAGGGGGCTGACAAAGAAGTAATAAATTGTGGGGTTCCCCAAGGGTCAATATTAGGTCCCCTGTTTTTCCTACTTTATATCAATGATTTAGCTGACGCAGTTTTAAATAGCACTCTGTACCTTATTGCTGATGATAGCTCAATTTATCTACCTGTCAAAAAGGAGGACTCAGTTCATGAAACTTATTTAAAACTCCCAAAGCGATGTTGATAGAATAGAAAACTGGTCAAAGACATGGAAATTTAAGACCAGTACAAGTAAGGAAGTATTTTTCCAGTCCAAAATAAGAAGTCGCTCAAATTCCTGTGGTTTTAATGGTGATTCGATCCCTTTTACCAATAGTCACAAACATCTTGGAATTATTTTAGATAAGGCTTTAAAATTTGAAGAACATATTAACAGTATATTGTTAAATGTAACAGGATGTTGAACCTACTTACCGCACTAAAACATAATTTAAGGTCAAAACATCTAGAAAAGATTTATTTGGCATTCATACTTCAGTACCTCACTTAGAATATGGTCATATTATTTTTGATTAGGCAAACTTAAATTTAATTTCCAAATTGGAAAAAATTCAGTATAGGGCAGCATTGATTGTTAGTGGATGTATCCAAGGGACAAATGCAAACAAAGACAATTCATGCTTAGGGGCCAGGAGGGAAGAAAAGGAATTATTATTTATTTATGATGTCATTAATAACAACAAAATACCTTCTTACAAAAACCAGGCTTTTTCTATATATAGAAATCATAATGTATTGCAAAATGAAAATAGGTTGCGTAGAGTTAGAACTTTTAAAATTCCATCCCAATGTAAGGCCAAGACCAGAAAGGGCACAGTTATAAACATCATGGGAGAAACTGCCTTGTGATTTGAAATGTATCCAATCTAGAAATTGTTTTAAGTTTAATCTGAGGAAACATATTCAAAATTCCAAAATAAAGCTACCTACACCAAAATTACATCTTGATAGGAAGAAAGAATCTATTTTGAACAAGACTTGTTGTGATTTTATTTTTAGACAGCATCTTTTTTTACTCAAAATTGTAGTTGTGGCTTTAGATCTCAGTCTACAATGCACCTATTATTACACTGTCCTCTATTCATTCTTCAGAGAAACTTGTTTTTGGAAGAACTTGGGGAACTGCCATCCTTTGACTTAACCTTATTTGGTCAACTCAGACAGCAGGACAGGGTAAACCTAATGTTGTATGGTGATTCTTCTTTACCATTTATGACAAATCAGGAAATTGTTAAATTGTTAAGGTTTACTGCAGTCAATTGTTTTGATTTTAAATGAGTAAGTTTTTACTGCTCTGCATGCCTGAGTTGGCACATAAGATTTCTTTGCAACTTTATCATTTATATTTATTCTTGATTACCAGGGCCAATAATGCATTGCTTCGGCCCTTGCTCTGTATGTAACATGTAATTAATACCTTTAAACCTAAAACAAAAGCCAAATTGTCCTATCATGAATCTATTTGTACTAACCTGGAAACAAACTCATCAAATTGTAAATATTATTGGATTGCAATCAAGAAATTACTTGGTAAAAAATTTTACACCTTAACACCTCAAAGCAGGGTGGACCAGACGGAATAACAAATAAGCTGTTGAAAATATGTTGCGACAGTATAGACCAACCATTATTTGACTTATTCAAAAATCAGCAGTGGAAGATATCATTGAACTGTGGCGCCCACACACAATATATGAAGGAATGATCATACTTTATAGTCCCCATGTCATATAAGTCGGATTTAGTTCAAATATCATAGCATAACGTCAACTATAAAGTAGTTTAATTCGATGAAAACTAAAAATATTGAAATCGACACTTCCCATCCGCCATCTTTGATGTCAAGGTGACAGCTGTTACAAGGGGTGTCACAGGTCGGATATCTTTCAAGAAAAAAAATGTGTGAGTCGGGTAATTTCAGGTTGGGTCAGAAGAACAATGAATTTGACTTGCCAATCATTCAGGAAGAACTGTAAACTATTCCCCATTCGTAATTTATACGTATTCAAGAAATAAGGCAAGCCAAAAGTTTGGAATTTTGCGGGAAATAGAAAGAATTTTACTATAACTTATGATATTCCTGAGTGTTCTGACCCAACCCAAAATTGGTAAGTAGCTGTTTGTGACCTGACCCGAGCCGAGATTCGGGTTGACTTTGGGTTGGTGTGACACCTCAAGCTGTTACCTTCGCTTGATACTTTGCTGCACCTTTATTCATGCTATCTATATATTTGTTGCACCTTTATAATGCTTTCTATATATTTGCTGCACTTCATACATGCTCTCTATATATTTGCTGCACTTTATACATGCTTCTTTACGCCTATACACAGATGTACTTTATATTAACCATGATATCAAAAGAAAATTGATCATTCCCTCATGCAGTGCAATATTGTCCTTTTGACCACATTGTCCTTAAAAAGTAAATACAACCAAATCAGTAACTCTATCCAATATTGTGACTAAACTTTACAGTTATTACTATACTGGTTATTTTTTATAGGTACTATTGACCTGCTTTGAACTGGAGAGAGGCTGGAGCATGCGCAGAGACCTGCACTGTGAGGTCACACTCTTCAGACAGCAACTTCATCTATTAAACCATACAGTCTCCATTAGTTCATAGAGAAAGCACGAATAAAGCTAAAAAGCTTGGATACTTGTAGTGATCAGCTTGTATTGCTTACCGTACGCTTTGCTGCTTCGTATGACCTTATTTGGTAAGTATATAGATTTATTAAGGGGAGAGAGTATTTAAAGAGAGGGAGGGATTTAAGGTGGTAATATTGCTTAATATGGAGTAATGGATTGGAGTCACCTAAGGCCATCTTGGATATGCTCTTACTAACATTTTCATGTTTTACATGTATTTTATCTCAGCATATCATTTAAAAATAGGTGTATAACATGAAAAATATTTGTAATTTAATGCAAATTCAAGAATTTGCATCTTTAAGCTTTCATTTTGAGTAAATGTATCATAAACATAGGCATGCCTTCTGTGGATTCTTTAATAGAACACAATGTTGCGGCCATGACTTTTTATAGATACCAAAAAATGTATTCCTGTTTCCTAACGGTATTAGATCAGAAAAATATGATAGATAGATTGCAAAGGATGAAATACAGACATGTCCACAATTGTTGCTTCATTTAAAGTTCACCTTAGTCAGGTGAAAGCTGAAGGTAAACATCTTAGAAAATAGGTTGAATGTTTTCTAAACTTTGATCCTTTTTACAAATATAAATATGCTAACCTGATTATCTTTGGTTTTATTTATTTTTTGATTTGGAGGCTAACTTTGTCTAATTTTGTCAATGTTTTTTTCATGTGTTAATGTTTCACTGACAAACTGCAGGTATAGGCAACTGTAAAATATCTAATTTATGTTAGTCTGCCATTGGAGAGTGGTGTCTGAGAGGTATTCTGTATTATAAGGTTATTTGATGAATCACTCTGCAACATGATGCTGACAAAGACATGACTTTCCTGCTTGTAATATGGAATTATAGTCAACTTTCCCCTGAGATAGATGTCCTGGTGGTCAAACCTTAAAATGCAAAATACAGCTAGGGAGGATGGGAGCCTTGAAAAGCAAAGAAAACTCCATTATGTACTCTAAATTGTATATAATTGCCAGAAATTCAGCCAGTTCATTCACATTAAAAGTGAGAGCTCTTAGAAACACCATGACCAGAGAAGGAATTTTTCAACATGTAAAAACAAGTGAGCTCATATATATTCAAATAGATTATGAAGAAAGCTGTATGGGGACAGAATAACCTCATTCAAAGTCTTAACATTACTAACTCCATTTTAAATATAATCATCATAAATTATTAAGCTTCTGTTATAACTATGGTAACTATAAGATGTCTAATATAACAACAATGAACTCGGAAATATATTCATAACTATGCAGTGATTGACTGAAAATCATAATCTTTTCGGCTGATTCAAAGAACCTACTTTAAAACATTTCCTCTTCCCAGAATCTTCTCATCTGATAAAGACCTAACATTTTGATGTCACCACCAAAAGGTGACAACGGTTAGCGATTGGCGGATGGTGGTTGGTGGTTGGCAATCAGCGTCTGTAACAAATTCTAAAGCACATGGAATAACTTAATAAATACTGTTTAGACTGACTTCATTTTTTTCAAAAGTTTTCTGAAGTTCAATTCCGACTTAAGATTTAAGATTTGACCTCCAATGACCTTATAAAAAAGGTCTAAAAGGGCTTTTTCCAACTTGCTTCAAATTGAATAATTTTTTTTCAAAATCATCTACACCCCCAAAATGCAATCTGATTTTCGACGCCATTTCGGTGCCAAATTTCGGTGTCGTTTCGGCACCAAATGGACTGACTAGTCCGGGAGCAAATTTTGGTGTCGAAAGGTTTCGGTGCCGGAACGGTGTCGAAACGGTGCCGGAACGGTACCGAATTTTTTCGATGCCGAAACGGCGTCGAATTATATTGGCTGTGTACAAGTTCTCAGAAGTTCATATCTGACTTTAGATTTGAGATTTCACCTTCAATGACCTTCTTAAGGTTAACAAAGGTCAGAAATGTCTTTTTTCAACTTGCTTCAAATTGACCAATTTTCTTTTCAAAATTGTCTACAAGTTCTCAAAAGTTCAAATCTGACTATAGATTTGAGGTGTTGACCTTTAATGACCTTCTCAAGGTCAAAAAAGATTCATAATATTGTGAGCAACTAGGTGGTGACATTTTGTCATGTTAATGCCTTGTTACTTACGTATACTCCCACCATAGAATATATTCTAATAATATATTTATTATGGAGTTTTTATATGTCTTTTGTCTGGAATACTTCCCATATAAACCAGAACTGTCATGATTTGTTTCAAGTAGAATATGAAAGGTAGGTAAAGTAAAGAGTATTTTACAAATAAACATACACGAAGTGAAGATTGTAGTTCATATTAGAACATGTAGAAATGCAAGTGCATGTATCTCATTGATTTGTCACATAGATTTATATATCTGGTATATACTTTGATGACCATCCAGATTTTCTACTAATGCTGCTGTTAGAATATTTCTCTGAAGTCTGGTGCCAACACATACTTCAGTATAGATCAATGTTCTTGCAGATTATGACATACATTTCAAACATTTTCTCAATTAAAAGTTAACAAACTACATTTCTAAACTTACTCATTGCTTCTGTGTAATTCTAAAACATCACATTTGTGATCTTTATTAGGATGTATTTGTGACTAATTGTAGCAAACTTAACAATTAATGTTACTTTTGTTTGTATTTTGTGAGGATTAATGCCTTTGTCTGCAGTTAGGAAAAACAGCATTAAGCAGTTTCCAATAATTTACACTTGAACTCGCATTACCATAAAAAGCTGTAATCCATATAGGTTCCATTGAGCACAGATTGTGACTTGTGGATATTGAGCTGTTACCAAATGTGTTTCTGAGTTAGGAGGGTTTTACTAGAACTTTTTTTCTGACAGAAAATATATCTTTGTATTATATTAGTATGAATTGTCTTTTTCACATTTTGACAAGCTACATAGAAACACCAGAAGTTTTGAAATGTCATACCAGTTTTTTATTCCAGTCAGTCAGCCAATAAAGCCCATGCTTTGTCCTTTTATTGTTATGTCCCCACCACATAGTGTGGGGCCATATTGTCAGCCTAGGCGCGTCCGTCTGTCCGTCCGTACGTCCGTCCGTCCGTCCGTCTGTCCGTCCGTCTGTCCGTCCGTCTGTCCGTACGTCCGGGAGTTTTCTCCAAAACCGCTACAGATATCACCTTCAAATTTTCAGGGATAACTTATGAGTGCATACAGATGTGGATGAAAAAATTTTAACTCGATACTTACTTCCTGTCGGCCATTTTGAAGTCAAATGCTAAAATCCTTGTCTGCAAACTTTAAGAAAAACGGCTTCACAGTTGCTTTTAAAACTTTAACATCTTGTTCAGCTCACTTCATTCTAGATCTGATTAGGTTTTGGACCTGTTAGCTCAGTCATGTCAGCCATTTTGAATGTCTTAAGAAAAGTTAGCGCACGAAAATACTTTGTATCATATTGAATGGTGTTTTTGAGTTTTCATACTTTAACTATTTAGTAGCTTTATAAATAATTTCAGATGTACTTTGTTGTAAAAGCCTATGTTATTGTTAACAGTAGTTATATGTGATAATTTTGTAAGAAGAAATCAGCAAAAACAAATAATCACTTTTTTATTGTCGGCCATTTTGGATTTTTCCGTCCTAAAATCTTGTCTGTGAAGTCTTGTCTACGTGTTTTCAGGTGAACCGTTTGGTGGATCAATTTCAAATTTTCAGGGATGATTCTTAGTATAAAAATCTAGATCTGATTTGTTTTTTGGCATTCTGGGTAAATGTCAAGGCAGCCATTTTGGATTTTCCGTCCTAAAATCTTGTCTGTAAAGTCTTGTCTACGCGTTTTCAGGTGAACCGTTTGGTAGATCAATTTCAAATTTTCAGAGAGGATTCTTAGTATGAAAATGTAGAACTGATTAGTTTTTTGGCATTCTGGGCAAATGTCAAGGCAGCCATTTTGGATTTTCTGTCCTAAAATCTTGTCTGTAAAGTCTTGTCTATGCATTTCAAGGTGAACCGTTCTGTAGATCAATTTCAAATTTTTAGGGATGATTCTTAGTATGAAAATCTAGATCTGATTAGTTTTTTGGCATTCTGGATAAATGTCAAGGCAGCCATTTTGGATTTTCCGTCTTAAAATCTTGCCTGTAAAGTCTTGTCTACGAGTTTTTAGGTGAACCGTTTGGTAGATCAATTTCAAATTTTCAGGGATGATTCTTAGTGTGAAAATCTACATCTGATTAGTTTTTTGGCATTCTGTGTAAATGTCATGGCAGCCATTTTGGATTTTCTGTCCTAAAATCTTGTCTGTAAAGTCTTGTCTATGCGTTTTCAGGTGAACCATTTGGTAGATCAATGTCATATTTTCAGGGATGATTCTTAGTATGAAAATCTAGGAACAGATTAGTTTTTTGACATTCTGGGTAAATGTCAAGGCAGCCATTTTGGATTTTCCATCCTAAAATCTTGTCTGTAAAGTCTTGTTTACATGTGTTCTAGTTAACTGTGTGACGGATCAATTAAAAATTTTCAGGGGTGGTTCTTAGTTTGAAAATCTAGAACTGACTAAATTTTGGGCATTCTGGGTAAATTTTAAGGTGGCCATTTTGGATTTTCCGTCCTCAAATTGTGTTGGTAAAGTCTTGTCTACTCATTTTCAGGATAACCATTTGATGGGATCACCCACTGGTGGGGACATTTTGTACACATTTGTGTTCTTGTTTCTATAAGTAGTGGTGCAAATTGTGGGGAAACTTGGAGTCGACTCTACTATGAAAAAATGGACTGGAAGTCGATTAAAAACGGGTTTTTGATGTCTTTATTTTTGCAAGAATAAGTAAATAAAATATGAAGTATGAAGCTACTTCCAAAACAGTTTATCGATGCTTTAATTAGCACAAAGGTCTAGATTAGATCATTTTGGTGCCATATTCTTTTCATAAAAAGCTCCATTTCTCTTAATAAGCATTATACTTTCATCATCTTTTATGATTTTTTCCAAGAACATTTAAAATTTGTTAAAATAATTTTCGACTTAAAATAGAGTTGAGCAAGTCATGATTATGGACACTAGAGTCGACACGTTTATTCGAGACCAATAACATGACTGC